GTCTATACTGCGCTTAGAGTAGCAAAGACCAATGATCGAGAATCCCCACATCATTTGCTATGAAAACCAGTGACACGATAGTGTTCCCTCAATGGTGAGCAGAGTGTAGAGTTGCATGTGCAACACTGCAACTAAGGCAGGGCTTGAAAAAGACGCTTGCCCGCTCGCCAAATGCGAGGAGAAATTCCTCTGTGGCGAGCGGTGAGCACAAATGAAGCATGGAGTGACTGCACCTGCACTCCAAGCCTCATTGTGAAGCAGAGTTCTGGTTTACAACTTCCGGTTTCCGGCTTATGCGGCACCGCCGCCGAAGGGACAGGTGCAGGAGAGGTCTGCTCTCCTCCGCTGAGAGGAGACACCCTCTCCACCGCCGCGGGGGACTCGGGGGACAGTAAGTACTGTATATAACATGTCATATCACTATAATGGAGTACAGGGGAGCTGGGATATACATTACTCAGTAATGTATATCCCAGCTCCCTGTACTCCATTATAGTGATATGACATGTAGAGAGTAATGTATATCCAGCTCCCCTGTACTCCATTATAGTGATGACATGTATACAATAATGATTACTATATACATGTCATATCACTATAATGGAGTACAGGGGAGCTGGGATATACATTACTGTATACATGTATATCACCATAATGGAGTACAGGGGAGCTGGGATATACATTACTGTATACATGTCCCCTATCACTATAATGAAGTACAGGAGTGGGATATACATTACTGTATACACTATAATGAAGTACAGGGGAGCTGGGATATACATACTGTATACATGTCATATCACTATAATGAAGTACAGGGGAGCTGGGATATACATTACTGTATACATCATATCACAGCTCATTACCCTATAATGGAGTACAGGGGAGCTGGGATATCCATTATAGTGTCATATCACTATAATGACAGGGGAGCTGGGATATATACATTACTGTATACATGTCATATCACTATAATGGAGTAGGGGAGCTGGGATATACATTACTGTATACATATATATTACTATAATGGGGTACAGGGGAGCTGTCATATCACTATATCACTGGAGTACAGGGGAGCTGGGATATACATTACTGTATACATGTCATATCACTATAATGGAGTACAGGGGAGCTGGGATATACATACTGTATACATGTCATATCACTATAATGGAGTACAGGGGAGCTGGGATATATATTACTGTGTACAGTTTTATATTTTAGACTATAATGGAGTAAAGAAAAATGTATACAATATCATATCACTATTTCATAAGTTTAAGGGGGTGTGGTTGGGGGGGCTGGGGCTTGGAGTAATTTCGGGGGGCTGGTTGGGCGGGCTGGGGGCGGACCTGGGCAAGGTTGGGTGGGGCAACTGGTGGAGAGTAAGTTTTGTGACCGGCTAGTAGATCTGGACTCAAAATTTTAACCCCTGAACTAAGGGATTGTCAGTGCTCAATCCTTTGGTGGAGATAATGGCATCCAGTGGTTCTGTTCATAAAGGTAGCTCCCAGAGTTCAGCCTAAACAACTACTCTCAAAGTAAGTCTTCAGAGACTGGGTCATTCTGGTGGCTGTGCCACAGTTCTGGACCGGGAAAGCAGTCTATGGCTAACTAATGCAGTAAACCGAGGTATTGAAAAAGCTAACATACAGAGCATTCTTTGTCAGTGGGCAAATCCTCCTGTAGGCAGCAGCGAACCCATTTGTTTCAGAGTCCTGCATTCCTCAATATACAAGGAATAAATTGAATTTTTGTACTCACCATAAAATTATTTTCTTGAGATCCATTAACATTTTCGCTGGCAGAGCCATTTTTGCCAAAAATGTCATAACCCCCAATTCCAATTTTTATGTTACAGGAGATTAGAAAATGCAAAATTTCAGTAAAAAATTGTGTTTGTGCATCCTACAATTAGTGATTCACTAAAGGAGAAGTTTGGGAATATAAAAAATAAATTGACATGCTTATCAACGAGGAGTGTATAGAGTGAGTTGGCTCAGATTTAATAAACCATTGCCCTTTAAGTCCACATTTTGGACATACACATTTCGGCACAGTGCACACCCCTTTATTCCTATAGCGTGTGCGTTTGGGGAGGGGCACTTAAAACAAAAAAAAAGATCAGCCCCGGGTGCCAGATATGCTGGGCATGCCACTGGTCTAGCAGAACCACATTTCTATTGTGAGCACACTAATATTGGTACCTGTTCACCTTCAGGTGCAAGACCTTCAAGCCTTTGCATTTGTGTGTATGCAAGTGGGGGGCAGATGGGGCTATTTAAAAAAAAAAAAGATTTTTTTATTTATTTCACGTAATTTTATTACTATTACAAGGAGGCTAACAAACCTCCTTTGTGATAGCTTTGGGCAGGTGACAGGTACTCTTTATAGAGACCTCAGGGACAAATTAGACCCCCAAGGTCTCCCCTACCCTCCAGTGCAGCTAATCAAGCACAGATTGTGCTTGATTACCTGCTTTCCTGACTGTAGAAGTCAGGAGATGACAGCTCTGAAACGAAGTGATTAAATCAATGTTTTCATGTTCATTAGTTACAGAAGAGATTGGGGAATGGATGTTCCTTAAATCTTCTCTGTAGCATGATATCCTAGATGTTTACCATGGTCCTGGGCTCCCCAGAGGAATGGAAGAGCCCGGCTATGCAGGCAGGAAGGGTTTAGGAATTACAGCTCTTAAGAATAGCCACCCCCCCTTTATCAAGGGACCAAAAGTAATTGGACAATTGAATATAATCATAAATAAAATGTTCATTTTTGATATTTTGTTAAGAATCCTTTACTGGTAATGACTGCCTAAAGTCTGGAACCCATGGACATTACCAAAGACTAAGTTTCCTCCTTTCTGATGCTTTGCCAGGGTCTAACTGCAACTGTCATCAGTTGTTCTTCAGCAAATGAAATGCATGCTCAGTTGGGTTAAGATCAGGTGATTGACTCGGCCAATGCAGAATATTCCACTACTTTTCCTTCAAAAGCTCCTGGGTTTCTTTTGCATTGTGTTTTGGATCATTGTCCATCTGCACTGTGAGGCACCGTCCAATCAACTTTGCTGCATTTGACTGAATCTGGGCTGATAGTATATCTGTAAATACTGCAGAATTCATCTGGCTGCTTCTGTCACATCATCAATAAACACCAATGATCCAGTGCCACTGGAAGGCATGCATGCCCATGCCATCACACTGCCTCCACCATGTTTTACAGATGATGTGTGCTTTGGATTATAAAACTGTTCCAAACCTTCTTCACACTTTTTTCTTCCTGTCATTCTGGTACAGATTAATCTTAATTTCATCCATCCAAAGAATGCTTTTCCAAAACTGGTTTTTTTTAGAAAATCAAAGTCTAATCTGGCTTTTCTATTCTTCAGGCTTTTGAATGGTTTGCACCTTGTGGTGAACCCTCTGTATTTGCTCTCGTGAAGTCTTCTCTTGATTGTAGACTTTGACAATGATACGCCCACCTCCTGGAGAATGTCCTTCACTTGTCCGGATGTTGTGAATGGGTTTTTCTCTACCATAGAGAGGATCCTGCAATCATCCACCACTGTTGTCTTCCGTGGACGTCCACCACTGTTGTCATCTGTTGAGGTCCATGCCTTTTTATGTTGCTGAGCTCACCATTGCGTTCTCCTTTCCTCAGAATGTACCAAACTGTTGATTTGGCCACTCCTAATGTTGCTGCTATCTCACTGATGGATTTGTTTTGTTTTTGAAGCCTTACAATGGCCTGTTTCACTTGCATAGACAGCTCCTTTAACACATGATGTAGGTTCACAGCAATAGATTCCAAATGCAAATACCACACTTAGAATCAACTCCACACCTTTTACCTGATTAATTCATAAGAAATAAAGGAGTAGCCCACACCTGGCCATGAAACCGCTTTTGATTTAATTGTCCAATTACATTTGGTCCCTTGAAAAAGGGGGGATGGCTACTCTTAAGAGCTGTAATTCCCAAACCCTTCCTCCAATTTGGATGTACATACCCTCAAATTAAACCTGAGAGTTTGCACTTTCAGCCCATATACATTATATAACTATAGCTTGAATATGTTTTGGTAAATACCTGAAAAAATAAAATTATGCCTGTGTCCAAATATATATGGACCTAACTGTATATTGCAGCTAATCCTTAGATGTGGTGGCTACATTAGTTTGCTTTTTGAGGTTTTTACCTTTTCACAGGGGCACTGTTAACAGCATTGTCAGTCTGGGGGGAGGGGAGTGTTAAATTTACTACCAAATTTAGATGCACTAACAAATTGAAGCCAAACTCCAGTTCACACTTTATAAACAGTTACAGCAAACATGTTTTTCATTTTGAGATGAAGGTTTTACATAACTATATAAAAGCTGACCATTGTAAGCACCCCTTTCAGTATTAAATGATTGTCTTATCCCTCTAATTACTACATTTGCTGGCCAGCTCGTTCTTTTGAAAAACAGACTTACTGGCCAGATCACCAAGTAAAAATAAGGGAAAGTCCTCCTTAAAAAAAAAAAAAAAAAAAATAATGCAGCCATCACATCTAAGAATTGGAAAGTTGCAATGTAATAAAGGTTTGCTTTTTGGTTTATTACCACTGCTGAAATGCTGCTGAAATCACAGAATATAACTATATAGTTTTTGAAAACGTGAGAGTGTGTACTCAACCATGCTAACAGCGCAGAAACTCAGATATCTTAATGCAGGCCAGAACACCGGACATCCTGGCTGGCTGCTATGAGTTTGCGGTAAAAAAAAAAAAAGCCACCCGGACTAAGATTTATTTAAGTAAAACTGTTGTCAACTGGCCAAATATATGAAACCATGATTGACAAACTTTCCAGTAAAACCTGCTAGAACTAATTACACTGGGTTCTCTCCTGGCTTGTTTATCTATCAATTTTTACTGTGTGGGTTTTGGAAGGACAAGAAAAAAAAATCTTTTTGAATGCCAGTGAAACATACACACGCGCGTGTATCATAACTCACATTTTGCATCCCTGAAGAGTTTCAGGGCTTCTTGGTTCACTTTCCTCCTGGGGCTTTCCTCAACACTAGGTTCTTTGTGTACAAGACTCAGATTTGCCCCATAGTCAATAAGCAACTGAACAAATGGCTGGTCACATCCATGCCGGAGAACTGCCTCCAACACACAAGATGGAGATGCTCGTGAAAAGTTTGTTTCGCATACCATACTCCAGCTGTTATAATCAGGGTTGGCACCAGCCTGAAGCAGGAGACGGAAGCATGGAAAACTGTCATATGCTGCTGCACTAATATACAGCGGCGTGCACGACAACGATGTCAGAGATCGAGGGGAAGATCCCAAACCACACGACAGCTGGTGATCAACATCCACATCCGCACCGTACCTAGAAACAGGGGAGGAAAACAATAAACAGTCCTTGTAAGGGTACAGCCAAGACCAGATTGAGTTCACATGTTTAAAATTGCTTCTACACATATGTAACCTCTATAAGAGTCCTCTCACATACACAATATATTTCACAAAGTATGATATTGAACATATTCCCTTCTATGCCAAGTGTTACCTATCTGGGGTTCTGTTCACGTTTTCTTATTGCTAACTGTCCTGTTGACTATGGTTTCGCCAGACAGGAAGTGAGGGAGAATGCCAACAGTAACATAAACAGAAATAAAAATGTTTTCGGTTTTTGAGTATGCGATGATTGGTACCCTGTCAGCTTTTTATTGTTGTTTGTATATCTCTTGCAGATTTTTTCACATTTCTTACCTGATGAATCTGTAGTCACCAGAACAGTAAGAGCCTGTGTTAACAGACTTTGTTCTTGTGTCAATGGCATGAGTTTGAGATCAGCCTGAGATGCTTCTGAGATCATTCAGAATTCATTACCAGGTGCATTTGACTGCAGTTGACCTCCTTCTGGCCTGCTTTAAAGGGTAGGTTAACACCTGTATATGTGCTTTTCACACACTGTTTGGAGTGTTTTTGATTTGGTTTCATAATTCTTTTTTAAATGCAGAGGAAAGTAAAAAAAAAAAAAAAACTACCAAAAGTGCATGAACATGTGTTCATTGATTTTTCAAACAAAAATTACATCAGTGGTACAAAATACAGGAGAAAGCATATCTGAGAGTGCACTCAAGATTACAATAGTATACAGTGTTTATGCAATAGAACAGTCAGTTGACTCTAAAAAAAAAAAACAAAAAAAAACATTCTGTACAATATATCCTAAAGTACTTTCTATAAACCCAAGTAAACAAAATCATACCCAAGTATTACAGTAAAAAAAAAACAAAAAAAATAATCACAGGAATTCACCACTGTGACCAACCTCATCTTGATAAGGGAGAAATGGACATAACAGTCTATTAAAACAGAAATTGCATATAAAACCTCCAATTGGCATAGGAATGAGAGCACAGGACTCAGCATATAGAGAAAAACAATGTTAACAGCAAGAGAGAGAATAGGAAGGAGAATATTATTATTATACAGTATTTATAAAGCGCCAATAGTTCGCTCAGCGCTGTACATTACAAAGAGGGACAGAACATGTGACAGAACAATACCAATACAATGCAAAACATGAGGGGATCGAGGGCCCTGCTCTTTCGAGCTTACAATCTAGGAGGGAGGGGATGGTGGCACAGGAGGAGATAGCTGTGGGGAATGGAGTGGTAGGAAGAGTGGAGGAGGTCGGCAAGTTAGCAGGGGGTAGGGTAGGCTTCCCTGAAGAGATGGGTTTTCAGGGTGCACGTAAAGGAGAGGAGAGTAGGTGATAATCTGATGGGTTGGGGCAGGGAGTTCCAGAGGATGGGTGACACCCTGGAGAAGTCCTGGAGGCGGGCATGGGAGGAGGAGACCAGGGAACTAGAGAGAAGGAGGTCTTGTGAGGAGCGGAGTGTGCGTGCTGGGCGGTACTTGGATATTAGGTCAGTGATGTAGTTCGGGGCAGTATGGTGGACAGCTTTGTATGTCAGTGTTAGGATTTTGAATTTGATCCATTGCGCAATCGGAAGCCAGTGAAGGGATTGGCAGAGGGGGGTGGTGGAAACGGAGCGGTTGTAAAGGTGAATGAGTCTGGCAGCCGTATTCAGGATCGACTGAAGCGGGGATAGCCATCGGCGAGGCAGGCCAGTGAGGAGGGAGTTGCAGTAGTCGAGTCGTGATATAATGAGGGAGTGGATGAGCTTTTTAGTGGTTTCTGGGGTTAGGAACGTGCGTATTTTGGCGATGTTGCGGAGGTGGAGTCTGCACGAGTTTGTTAAAGATTGGACTTGGGGCTGGATGGATAGGTTGGAGTCCAGAATGACACCAAGTACTCTGGCCTGCGGGGCGGGTTTGATGGTGACGACGTTGGATGTGATGGAGAAGTCAATGGGGGGTGGTGTGCGGGCTGGGGGGAAGACAAGAAACTCGGTTTTGGAGAGGTTCAGTTTAAGAAAGTGGAGTGAGATCCAGTCTGATATGTCGCTCAGTAGGTGTGTGATTCGGGAGGAGACCGAGGGGGTGAGGTGGGGGGTTGAGAGATAGATTTGTGTGTCGTCCACATAGAGGTGGTAGTTGAAGCCGTGAGAGTGTATGAGTTGGCCAAGGGAGGAGGTGTAGATGGAAAAGAGAAGGGGCCCGAGGACAGAGCCTTGAGGGACCCCAACAGAGAGGGGGAATGAGGGGGGAGGGTGGTAGCATTATAGGTAACGCTGAAAGAGCGTTGTGACAGGTAGGATGAGAGCCAGGAGAGAGCAGAATCTCTGAGGCCAAGGGAGTGTAGTTTTTTGAGGAGGGAGGGGGTGGTCGACTGTGTCGAAGGCTGCAGAGAGGTCAAGGAGTAGGAGCACTGAATAGTGGCCATTAGCTTTGGCGGTTAGCAGGTCGTTGGAGAGTTTGAGTAAGGCAGTTTCGTGGAGTGTAGGGGACGGAAGCCGGACTGTAGGGGATCGAGGAGCTTGTTGTCGTTGAGGTGAGAGCTTAGGTGGGTGTAGACTAGGCGCTCGTGGAGTTTAGATGTAAATGGGAGCAGGGAGATGGGTCTGAGGTTGTTCGGGTCATTGGGGTCCAGGGAGGGCTTTTTAAGTATGGGGGTGATGTGTGCATGAAAGAGCTAAGGAAGAAGAAAGGTAAAAAAGTGCCAGTCCAAAGGTCCATTTCTGCCACCCCCACAAGTCCACCATCATCCAAATGGAGTTGTAAATGTGAAATCCAAGAGTTCCAGACTTTTTCAAATGTCATTTGTTTGTCTCGCAGTGCACTAACCATTTCTCATTAAGCATTATCCAGGTTAATTTGCACTTCATCGAAGATAGACCAACCAACATGCCCTCTCAGGCTGTTGCTATCTTAGTCACTAGAAACATAAAATAAAGAAATGTTTGAGTTTGTCTGGGAAGGTTTTCAACTGGTTCATTTAGAAGGGCAACACTGGCGTTCTTAATGGTATTAACTGTAGTTACTGAATTTATCAGGCAGTGAACTTGCATCCAGAATCACCTGACCTTAAAGCGATTCTAAAGGTTTTTTTTTGTTTGTTTTTTTTTTTGTAAAATAACAAACATGTCTATACTTACCTGCTGTGTGCAGTGGTTTTGTACAGTGCAGCCTGGATTCTCCTCTTCTCGGATCCTCTGTAGCCTCTCCTGGCTCTTCCTGTCTGGTGCCCCCCCACAGCAAGCAGCTTGCTATGGCAGCACCCACTGCTCCATGTGTCCATTCACACACGGAGGCGCGGCTTGCTTCCCCCCCCCCTCTCCACATTGGCTGACTGGCTTGACTGACAGCAGTGGGAGGCAGGGACCAGAGACAGCCAAGGCTGTTGTTCACATCGCTGGATCGCGATGAGGCTCAGGTAAGTATTGAAGGGAAAGGGGGCACTGCTGCACACAGAAGATTTTTTACCTTCATGCATGGAAGGTAAAAAAACCTTCAGCCTTTACAACTGCTTTAAATGTAGGTCCACCATATGGGTTTCCCACCTGATCACATCCATGAAAGCAATAGGATCCAGGGTACATTTTACAGAGCCTCTCGGGAACTTAATACCATTACATCACCGATCTTGTCTCCAAATATCACCCAAACTGTACTCTCCGCTCCTCACAAGACCTCCTACTCTCTAGCTCCCTTGTCTCCTCCCATGCTCGTCTCCAGGGCTTCCCCCATCCTCTGGAACTCCCTACCCCAATCCATCAGACTATCACCCACTCTGCTCACTTTTAGGCGCACTCTGAAAACCTATCTCTTCAGGGAAACCTACCCCGCCCTCAACTAATACTGAAATCTTCTACTCCTCCAACCACTCCATCCATCCCCACAGTTATTACCTCTTGTACCACTATCCCCTCCCTCCTAGATTTTAAGCTCCAAGGAGCAGGGCCCTCGAACCCCTCTTGTTTTGAATTGTATTGTTACTGTACTGTCTTGTCTCGAACTTATTTACATAGTTAGTCTGGCTGAAAAAAGACAAAAGTCCATCCAGTTCAACCATTAAAAAAAAAAAGTTATAATTCTACACCCAGAGTTGATCCAGAGGAAGGCAAAAAACCCAGCAAAGAATGATCCAATTTGCTCCTGCAGGGGAAAAAATGCCTTCCTGATCCACTGAGAGGCAATCGGATATTCCCTGGATCAACTTTACCTATAAATGTTAGTATCCAGTTATATTCTGTGTATCCAAGAAAGAATCCAAGCCTTTTTTAAAGCAATCCACTGAGCTGGCTAGAACCAACTCTTGAGGGAGTCTATTCCACATTTTCACAGGTTACACCTTTCCGTGTTTGGAGATTAAATTTCTTTTCCTCCAGACGTAAGGAGTGCCCCCTTGTCCTCTGTGATGACCTCAGGGTTAATAACTCTTCACCGAGTTCACTGATGTATTTATACATGTTGATCAAACCCTTCCTTAATCTCTTCTCAAGAGAGAATACATTCAGTTCCTCTAATCTTTCCTTATAGCTGAGCTCCTCCATGTCTCTCATCAGTTTGGTTGCCCTTCTCTACTCTTTCTCCAGTTCCCCAATGTTCTTTTTGTGAATTGGTGCCCAAAACTGAACTGCATATTCCAGGTGAGGTATTACTAATGATTTGTACAGGGGTAGAATGATATCTCTCTCTGGAGTCTATAGCTCTTTTAATACAAGTGAGGATTTTGCTCGCTTTAGAAACCGCAGCTTGGAATTGCATGCCATTATTAAGCTTGTGATCTACCAGAACTCCCAAATCCTTCTCCACCATTGATTCCCCCAGTTGTACTCCCCCTAGTATGTATGATGCATGCATATTCTTAGCCCCCAACCGCATAACCTTACATTTCAACATTAAACCTCATTTGCCACATAGTTGCCCAATTAACAGTGCATTGAGGTCGGCTTGTAAGTTGGAGACATCCTG